TCGTTTTCCATTTTTGGGCTAATAAAACACGGGCTATGGTAGTGGCATACATAAATAATCTTTTTTGACACCTGGGAATTTCCATCTGAATTATCCCCAACAAAAAGGAATTTGGCTTTTTGGGAAAGGTGCTTTTAAACATTTTTTACAATTCATTATAAATTATTTCCCAGGACTCTTTTACCCTTTTACAAGTCCACCACATATGATAAAACATACCCTCAGTCTCATTTTATCTCCAGCACTTATCCGACTCAGACTTACACATTTTAGCAAGTCTACCTGGAGTTAGATACTATCTGTAAATCATTTTCAGATAAGTTCGCCTTCAAAGAATAATATGCTGTGAACTTCAAATCACTCTTCCAAAGTTTTCCCAGAGATTTAAATCTATATTATGTTCTATATCTACTTTTTCATTGTGTTTAGCATTGCAAGCAAAGTTAATTAAATTGCACAATACTTGAATAGGCAGTCACTCCATGTGCTGTATTTAGAACACCGGCTTTTTCCAGCTGTAGTTATGCCAATAGAACTGAATAAATGAACTGCCATGAGAAAATGATCACAGATAGTAAAGGGTATTTCTGCAATTACACTCCTTCCTTCTGGTATGGCATTTTGACTTCATGGTGTAGATCAGCCTTCCCCAATGAAGTGCCTTCCAGTGTTTGGGACCACAATTCTTACCATACTTCACTAATGGCCATACTGACTGGGGCTGATGGGAACTGTAGTCCAAAACATTGGGAAGGCACCAGGTTGGGGGAAGATAGTATACATTCACAACAGAAGTGCTTTCTACACTTTAACAAGTGTTCAGTGCCAGGTTTGGGGAGGCCCTTAGACAACATGCTCTCAGTCTAAACCAGCATCAGCACCTGGCACCTTGGGGAAGCTGTCAAGATATCAGTGCCTTGTCAGGGTCCCCTGCTGATGCCTATCCTGTCCTGTCCTGCCCTCCCCTTCCTTTTTCTGGTTCTAGCCACCCTTTCAACTTTCCACAATGCCCCCAATCTTGGCAGCCTATCTAGTTCGGCATCCTTTTCACAGTGACCAACCAGATGTTTCTGGGATGCCTGCAAGAAGGAACTGAGCACAAAAGCTTACACGGGTCAGCAAACGTTTTCAGCAGGGGGCTGGTCCACTGTCCCTTACACCTTGTGGGGGGCCAGACTATATTTTTTTTGGGGGGAGGGGAAAGGAAATGAACAAATTCCTATGCCCCACAAATAACCCAGAGATGGATTTTAAATAAAAGCACACATGCTACTCATGTAAAAACAACAGGCAGGCCCCACAAATAACCCAGAGATGCATTTTCAATAAAAGGACACATTCTACTCATACATACCATCTTCGAGGGAGAACAAGATGAGTGGAGATTGCTACTCATTCTCATACCTCTCTCTCCCTCTCTCTCCCCCTCTCTCTGCTTGTTCCCTCACAGAAGGGAAGCAGTCACAAAGAGAGGATGAAGGAAACTTCAGGGACTGACTATGCCCCCCATCCTGGGAGTGGGCTAAAGTTTGTAACCAAAAATACAACACTCTGAAAGAGCTGGTGCAGTGTGTTGCTCGAAGTGAGAAAGTAAGCCCTTGGTTCAAATTTTGCCTGTCATTAATTCCAGAGGTGGCCTTAAGCAGCCTTCTTTCTTTCAGCCTCTGCCGCCTCTGGTCTCTGAGCTGCTCCCTTACGCCTCTTAGAAAATAAGAACCCTCCTGGATCAGACCAAATCTAGTCCCACATTCTCCTATCACATTGACCAACCTGATGTCGGAAGCCCATGAGGGCACAAGTGCAACAGCACAAGATGTAATAATTTCTAAAAGAATGTTAAAACACTATATTATAAATTGTAAACATTTAGGATTGTTAAACTGGTGCTCCTATAGTATACAACCAGTGGGCTTTGGACTGCCTTGTACTAGTCCCCAAGGCAAAGAAAATATAGATATTTAATATTTCAGACTTTATTTTGTAATATATAGATTCTACCCAAAGTGACAGTAAAAATAGATGGTTTCGGTTTGTATGTTCCAACAGTTAATCAGCAGCTAAGAAAAGCACTTTTACTAGCTATGATGTTTTCTAACTTGTTTTCCAAGTCTTGGAAATTTGGTTGTGAACCATTAATCTAATAGGGAACATTCTGGTGTTAAAAGCATGGAATCCTGAGTTCAAATTCCAGCTTCAACAGATGGTTTTGACTATTCTTGTCTTCTTTAGACTCAATTTCCCACCTGAAAAACAGTCTACTTATTTACAAGTATCCATAATCCATTTTTGTGGAAACATCTAAAGGAACGCAGTAAAATCAGCCTTTTTAAAAAAAGTGTGTTGGAAATAATGTTGACTAGAACAACCAGTGGTTATATCTAGGTCAGCATGTAGCATCCTCACTCTCTGTGTCAGAATTATCTATATAGGATCAAAAATGCAACCTCTAATTGAGAGACATGATCAACAGGAGGTGACTCACTTTATAATTGCTATGTATGTTCATGTATACTTCCAATGAAGTATTTAGTCACTGTCACTAAACATGATATAAATTGATAGGCTGTTGGTTTTTCATGCAAAGCTTGATCACGTATGTGACTTTGCTTTTGAATAACAAGCCCATTACTGAGAGTGATTTCAAATAAGTGATCTAGATCATTCCATACCATCTTTGCTCTTAATACAACCTGAAAACATGTGTGTCTATAAATATAGGGTTTATAACCCTATAAATATAGGGTTTGTTGTCTTGACCCCATGGCCCTGGGTGAACAACCAGCAACCATTTGGATTAGGGTTGCCTCTGCTCAGATTTTATCTCTGAAATTATTAGTGTATTTGTCCACATGAACTTCAGTTAAACTTTCCTCCAGCATTAAGGAAGCATTTAGGTCAGGGGGAGGCAAACTTAAGGCCCAATCACCTTCTAAATCCGGCCAGCAGACAGTCCGGGAATCAGCGTGTTTTTACATGAGTAGAATGTGTCCTTTTATTTAAAATGCATCTCTGGGTTATTTGTGGGACATAGGAATTTTTTCATTCCCCCCCCCAAAAAAAATATAGACCGGCCCCACACAAGGCCTGAGGGACAGTGGACCAGCCCCCGCTGAAAAAGTTTGCTGACCCCTGATTTAGGTAGAGAGATTTCTGGAGACAGACAAATGCAATAGGAGCAGGAGGATAGTAGTACAGTGGTACCTCTGGTTGCGTATCCTTCGGGTTACGCACGCAGCAAACCCAGAAGTATTTTCCCAGGTTTCGCCCTGCGCACATGCGCAGAAGCGCTCGACTGTGCCACGCACATGCACAGAACAAGCACCTCCAGTTATGAATTCCTCGGGATCCAACCGGAACTCCGGAACGGATCCAGTGCGCAGCCAGAGGTACCACTGTAAATTATTTTGTAGGAATAGAATGCTTAGTGACATTTTATCATCTCATGCGAAAACTGGAAAAAAATTATAACTCTAATGACCATTAGGAATGAATGACCCATTTGCCAACACCACATTTAATAGTTAAAATAACACTAGATACCATTCTGGCTGCAATAACTTGTCCAATGGCATTGGACATGAACATATAAAACATTAAAACTAGATTAATCACTTGAATAAAGAAATATTACAGTGTAATCCTATACACATCTACTCAGAAGTAAGCCCACTGAGTTCAAAGGGAATTACTCCAAGGAAACTAGGTATAGGACTGCAGCCTTGTCGCTTCAGTAGGACTTACTTCCAGGTAGGCATGGCTAGGTTTGTGCTGTGAGTTAAGCAACTAATTATCGTATTTTTCCATGTACTGTATAAGACTAGGTTTTTTTCCTAAAAAATAATTTCAAAAATTAGGGGGCGCCTTATACTCTGGGCCATCTCCTCCCATTTTCTTAAATCTGAGTCTCCAAAAATAGGAGGTGTCTTATACATGGGGGCATCTTATAGACGGAAAAATACGGTATATGAGCTTCAATCATTTAATCAATTTTTGTAATTTTATATATACACAAAAACTGGCCCGAAGAAAAAACGCCTATTTATGGAAGAAACTGAGAAAGGGGTAAAATTCAACCTCCCCCAAGTTTCACAGAGATATTTTATAAATACGGCATTAGGTTAAGTTCTGGTTAACTACAATAACATATTTGGGGGATCATGTATACAAGTTCTTTCTTTTGTGCTGTTCTCTTCTCTACTAATTTTTTTATTCTTCTTTTTGTGTGTGTCTTCTCTTACTCTGCGCCCTTGTGATGTACTTTTAATTTTTTCAATAAAGAATATAAAATAAGTTTCACAAATATATGCATCAGAACTGAAAACATACATACAGATAAGCAAGCAAAGCCCTGACCTAAAAATGTAGTGCTAAGCTCAAGTATAAAAGGCAAGCGTTTAAGCATAGTAGACACCATCCTAAAACAAAACCCTGCACCTTTATAGTTAAAAAACACACAAATAAATAAATAAATCCTTTATACCCCGCCCACCTGGCTGAGTCTCCCCAGCCACTCTCAACACTCTTTTACTAGGCAGCTAGGCTGCAATCTTATTACATACTCACCGGGCGTAAATCCCATTGTGGGCCTTACTCGTGAGTAAGCATGCATACGGGCGCACGGTACGTCGGAATGAACTGACACACAGCTCAAGGAAAGCTCTCACCCTGTCATGTAAAGTAAAGCCTCACTCCCACAGCGAGGAGCGCCTATACGAATGCAGGCAAAGGCATAACACACCTAGATAGATGGACATATAAATAGATAAATAAAGAAAAGCCTAAGAAGAAAGCGCGGAGGAGTTTCACCAGCCCTCCCCCTGATGAACTCCAGCTGGGCTCCAAACTAGCCTTACAGGCCCGGCGTTGCTGGGCAACGGCGGAGAAGATGGGAGGGGGGAGTTCCGAGCGCGGAGGAGGACGCCGCTTTTAAACCAACGCTTTTAAGCGCAACTTGTCTCCCGTCGGCTTCCGTCCCAGATGCTCCCTCCTCCTCCCCCGCCCCTCCCCTCCGTCGCCTCCATCTCAAGCCGTCGCTAGTGGCGTAGCCGGGTCTTGTTCGGGAGCCGCGTCAGCCGCCGCGGAGTCGCCTACCTGCTCGCCGCGCCGGGTGGTGAGCGGGAAGCCGGTCCGTGAGGGGAGGGGAAGGGAGAAAGAGAGAGAGAGCCATGGGGGAAGAAGCGTCCCGCCGTCGCCGCCGCTGAGAGAGGCGCCCGGGCCCGCTCTGCTCTGGCTGCTGGAGCCATGGACAAAGCCGTCGGCGGCCAGGTAGGGAGGAGTCCGGCGAAGGAGCCCGCCGTGAAGCGACCGACCCCCGGCTGAGGGGTTGCTAGGCAACGGGGTGGGGAGGGGTGGCCCGCAAACCAAACCCCCCCCCCCCCATCCTGGGAGGAAGTCCCTTGAGGCAGCTGTGCCTAGGGGTTAGTGGCTGAGGGGTGCCTAAGTAAAGAGGAGGGGGCGGCGGCTGAAAAGGTGAGGGGCTTAAATAACGCCCCGGCCTTCTAAATCTCAGGCGTCCCCTCTGCGCCTCCTCTGCTTTTGTTTTGGTTTCTCAACCTGGGCTTTTAACTTCGGGGGCGTTAAATGAGTTGTAGCACTTGCTTATGGGGAGTCGCCCAAAGAACTCGTCTGCTGTGGAGGCGGCGTACAAATGCCACCGACACGTAAACAAACCGAGAGGGTGCTTCGTGTCGCGGTAGTAGTAATACTAATAATAATCGGGGGCGGGAGTTATGGGGCTTGAGCCCTAGACCCGGTCCCTGGCGCGGGTGGGATCGGGCCCGAGGGGAATTAGGCGAGGTTGCCAGGGCAGTGAGGGATTTAAAGGGATTTGTTGAAGCTGTGGGAGAAGGAGCTTGTTTATACAACGCTCTCACTCTTGACATCCGTAGGGTGTTCTTTATAAGTTTTAATAAGCAAAGGATATATGTAGATTGTTTCCTCTCTTTCCCCCCCCCCACCCCGCAATCTAAATTCTGCAGCAAGGAATCTAAATTCTGGAGTAAGAAAGCAAAGGCAAAGCTAGCAGGCGTTGAACAGGGGCCACTGGTGTTATGGGTGTGGGGGTGTTGAAAATTAAATCGCCAGCTATTGCTATCTGAATGGTGCTGGTTTCCGTAGCAGTAATACATTAAAAGATGCTTCTGTATGGTATTGCGGTTAGTGTCAAACTGAGACTTAAGAGTTCAAAACCCCACTCAGCCATGAAACTCCCTTTATGACCTTGGGGCCACTGCCTTTCTCAGGCTAGCTTACCTCACTGGGAATTTATGAGGACAAAATTAGCTCCATGGATAGAAATTTCAGGGCTTCAAGACACTTCTGCTATGCATTGTTTCAGTAACTCCTAAAACATTTCTTCATGACACTCCAGTATTTTTCTTATTGCAAAGTACTGGGAAGGCTGGCCAAGGATGGAAGAATATAGTGGCTTGTCTAATGCCACCTAGTGAATTTTGAACTGGGAACTTATTTTCTGTACTTTATTGGTGGGAAGGAAAGGATGATAATGCTGACAAATTATCAAATTTCCAGTCTTGGCAGGAAAGACCTGGATTAGCAAATATAGTAGAACTTGGCTATAGTCTTGCAATGCGAAAAGGAATGAGGTCAGAAGGAGGAATGGGACAGAAAGTGCATCTCTCCCCAGTTGTTTTTTGAGGCTAAAATCATTGTCAGGGACTGACTTGAGGGTTGGATATCCTTCACCTCCTCTTCAAAGTAGACTTAATTTTCCAATAGAGCTGGACTGCTATCAGCAACGGGCATTCCTTCACTTCACTTTCCAGTTTGAGGCAAGTGGGGAAGTCGGATGGCTTTTAGAGCGAGAGAGATTTGTCCCTGAGAATTTCAGGTATTACTGTACTTCTTAGAGGGCAAACTATATGTAACTCACATTTAAATGTAAATGAAGCACCAACACGCTTGATTAAAAGCGAAAGGATTTGATTTTGTGTTGAGGGAGTGTCTACTTAAACCTTTCCTTACCAGCTGATTCTTATATCAATATTGTGCTTCTCTCCTCCAGCCCCATCCCTCCCCCTCCTCAGGGTTCCAAAGTATCAACATATGTCTGGAATTCTTTGCAGGGAGAACAGCTGGTAGAGTAGAAAAACAGTTGGAAGGAGAAGAGTTAAACATCCCTTGTTTAAAATTGCTGCCTCTTAAAGTTGCTTGATTTAAAACACCATCACCACCATTGGGGCTTCATTGCACACACTTATTTGTTTTGTTTGTAATGTTTAATTTGACCCATTGGCAGAGGTTAAACACATTGTGGATGCATTCAGACAGCTTTTAGAATTAAGATATTAAAAAAACATTTTGCCTTTGTAAGAACAACCTAGTTGCATTTTTAAGCTAGTAATCTGTACACAACCATAGTTTCCCATTTCACCTGAACTAGGAAAATGAACTAGAAACCATGGTTAGAGATTTCCTAGTTTATCAGCCATGCAATGAAGAGGCTTTCTAAGTGGGCATGCTTTGTACATATTGCAGCATATTTAGCCAAGATAAGCTGAAGCAGGTCACTGACTCTTGCAAGACAAGAGTTTAAACTTCTGTCCACAGAAGGTATCCTCTTTATATATTTGTCTAATATCAATCTCTTCAGTTTATTACCACTATCATTATTTTAATTACCTGCACTTCACCCTAAGGTCACAGGACAAGTTATAAAAAACAACACAGTGCTAAAAACAGTTTAAAACATAATCACAAAAATAAGGTGTACCAAAAACCATGTACCAAAAACCAGGATAAAGTGGTGTGTCTTCAGCATTCACCGAAATTGTGTCATGAAGATGCCGGATGAATCTCTGTGGGGAAGTAGTTCCAAAACCTAGGGCCTACTACAGAGAAAGCCCTCTCTTAAACCACCTCCCCTGAGCTCCTGTGGAACAATCAAGAGGGCCCCCTCCGCTGATCTTAAAACTGGTGGAGGTCTGTAGGAAAGATACAGTATTTCAGGTATTGGGGGGTGGGGGCTGAGTCAATTAGGGCTTTAAACACTTGTAATTGGCTTCAGAAACAAACTGGAAACTAGTGCAGCTGTTTTAAAATGGGTTCAGTGAGATCTAAGTCCAGAACCCCAGCTAGGAATTTGGCTGCTGCATTTTGGACCAGCTGAAGTTTGAGTCTTCAAGGGCAGCCCCACATAAAGCACATTGCAATCATCCAATCTGATCTGCGATAGCTCAGTTGGTACAGCATGATATTCTTATTCTCACTGTCATGGGTTTGAGCCCCACGCTGGGCAAAAAGATTCCTGCATTGTAGGGGGTTGAACTAGATGATTCTTGGGGTCCCTTCCAACTCTACAGTGCAGGACCCATATGCAGTACAGCCAGGCTAGATGTCAGACCACAGATCTATGACCTAATATTAGGCAGCATAAGTTCCTAAATGTCAATTTCTACCCAAAACAACAAAGTTGGTTTGGTCTGATCATTGCTGCTGTTAAAGATATGGCTGTTTGGGGTTACATATCTTTTGTTTTTAACAGGTCTTTTGTGTTGCCTGTAGTTTCCATGAATATTTTTAAAAATTGTTTCTGAAGGGAGAATGGTTACTGAACCACAGACATCACTCTTGTTGAGCAATCTGTTGTGGATTAATTAGTAGGAATTGTAATTAGCCTTCAGGTGATTTCATGAAATGGTTACTTCCTTGTTGCATTCTTCCAATACAGTGGTACCTCGGGTTAAGTACTTAATTCATTCCGGAGGTCTGTACTTAACCTGAAACTGTTCTTAACCTGAAGCACCACTTTAGCTAATGGGGCCTCCCGCTGCTGCCACTGTGCCGCCGGAGCACGATTTCTGTTCTCATCCTGAAGCAAAGTTCTTAACCTGAAGCACTATTTCTGGGTTAGCGGAGTCTGTAACCTGAAGTGTATGTAAGCCGAGGTACTACTGTATCTTCCTGTGTCTTCAGTTCTTTGCAGTCAGCCATTATCTGGATTTTAGTAACTAGGCATGGATAGCTGTAGAAGAGGAAGACGCTCCAGACGACTTCAAGATAAAATAATAATGATTATTAGGTTCAAGGATAAGGTCTCATTCACAGGAGTGGTAGAGCCACTTGCTTGCAAAAGGCCTCAGCTTCACTCCCCAGTATTTCTAGACAAGACATGGAAAGGCTTCTCTAAAACTCCTATATTGTCGGCATAGACAGTAGTAAGCTAGATAGACCAGTGGTCTGACTTGGTTAAAGACAGTTTTTCTGTGTTCCTTTAACATTTGCCTGACATTTTTCTTAAGGGGACGAGAAGGTGTGGGTGGGCATTGTGGGTTTTAGTCCTCTTAAAGTCATATGCTGCATAGTATTGTGCCAGGCAGCAGGCATATGCCTTCACAAGATATCGGTGTTAGAAACTCAGATATATAAGCTAGGTGCCAAATGGCTCCTTAAACCAGGTTTACAGTTGCCAAATAACAAAATTAGGAAACAGATTGCAACAAGTAGCGTGGTATCCTACCTTGTATCATGCATCACTTCAAAACAACTTGTTCTGTGCTTGAACCATTGGCACAATATGTTCCTTATGCTGCCACGTTGATTTAAAGGCATCACATTAAGACAAGTTATGACTTAGCATGAATGCAGGGTCTCTAAGAGAGTAGATTGGGGCCATTTTGCTCCTCCCTAGTCACTCTGCTACTGCACTGATGTGTGAACTAGGCCAGTGTCTAATCTTAGTAGCTCCTTTTCTTGGGAAGTATCTGTTCTAATGTAGAGTAAGCCTTGGCCTTTATGAAGTCATGGAGGTACAAATCAAGGTTGGATAAGATAGGCTCTTACAGTTTTATAATGCAGTTGTTTCTAGTAGTAAGTTTTAAACTCTTTAAAATGGACTTGGATTGTGATAGGGAAGGAGGAGTTGCATTTTGTTAATCCAAATGTAATCCAGATAGATTCAGTTACTAAACATTATAGTCGTATCATTAAAAATAAAACATACGATTTATAAAAAAAAAATTATAAATACAGTAATGAAATTAAAAGTAATGAAATTAAAATACAGTAATGAAATTAAAAGTCTTCCAGTACTGGATCCTTGCTACCTGGTAGGATTCATGCCCAAGTAATTGTAGGATTGAAACCTTACAGTCCAAACATATGCATTTTTATACAGATGCAAATCCCTGTGGTCAGTAGGAATTGTTCCTGTTAATTGTACATAGGATTGCATCCTATCCTAATGATGATTGGCCTTGTTTAGAAGCTAAGTAATAGATTACTTTATATGAGCTGCTCTTCATGTATTACTTGTACCCTCATGTAGTTTATAGGGAGACCTCTTGGAAGTTGTATTAATTAAGCACAGTCAGTACAGCATGAGACTCTTAATTTCATGGTCATGGGTTCAAGTCCCATGTTGGGAAAAATGATTCCTGCATTGCAGGGGGTTGGACTAGATGACCCTTGTGTCTCCTTCCAACTCTGCAATTCTATAAACACAGTGTAGGAGTAAGGAATTAAATATGAAAGTTATGAGTAGGTGTTCACGTGAACAGGTTGTTCAGTACTTAATGAAAATACTTAGCATTTATAAAATGATAGTGCTACTGCCCACTCATGTTACCTTGTTTTATAGCTTATCTGTTTGAATAAAGCTAAGACACAAACAATAGAAGCTCTAAGATTGCACATGACATGTCATATAATATATATTATATGACATGTCATGTGCAATCTTAGAGCTTCCATTGTTTGTGTCTCCACCTATCAAAGATGTCATACTGGCAGTATTGAGTTTGTAAAAGCATTTCACCCAATGTGTTCATTGAATATTGATTTGTAGATACAGTATTCCCAACTAAGGGTTGCATGCCTTAGTATACCCATTTCCTGATCGGAATTTGCTTTGTCTTGTGTATCTTCAAAAAAAACAACAGCCATTCATTAGTCTAACATGCAAGCAAATGAAACAGTTTGTATGATCCTTTTTAAAACAGATAAATGATGCATGTTAATCTGAATCTGTAAGATGTTCTGTTTGGCAGTTGAGCTGGAACAGATAATAAAAAGTGGTGTGAATTTTCCAGACAAAATGTAATAGGAACATTTGTGCTGCTTTAAATGGAGATCTGATTTAGCATGTATTCTTGACTTGCATTTAGTAAACAATGTCTGATCCCCTCCCAGTAACCAAAAGTAGTTTGACTGAAACATATGTTATGAGAAAAATGTCAAAACATTCGAGTTGTTTTGAATGTCCTATTCAAAGCATTACTTAGAAATTTATATTTAGAAATACTCCAATGAAAATGTTAAGACATAGCTCAATAGCATACATTCCCCTTAAGCTATTTAGATTTTAATAACACATTTCTATTCATTTACCGTATTTTTCGCCCCATAGGACGCACCGCCCTATAGGACGCACCTAGTTTTTTTTGGGGGGGGGGGGGGGAATAAAGGGGGAAAAAATTATTTCCGGGGCTGGCGCGGGGGAAGCCCGAGCTTCCCCCGACCCCAGCCCCCAGAACAGCCTGCTATCCGCAAGCCTAGGGAGCCGCGCCGGTCTCCCCAGGCTTGCGGACAGCTGCGTGAAGCCCGGGCGCTCTCTTCAGCGCGCCCGAGGCTTCGGAATGCAAGCAGCTCTGCGCAACCCTCCAGAGCCCGGCGTGGCTTCACACCGGGCTCCGGAGGGTTGCGCAGAGCTTCCTGAAGCCTGGAGAGCGAGAGGGGTTGGTGCGCACCGACCCCTCTCGCTCTCCAGGCTTCAGCGAAAGCCTGTATTCGCCCCATAGGACGCACACACATTTCCCCTTCATTTTTGGAGGGGGAAAAGTGCGTCCTGTAGGGCGAAAAATATGGTACTCAGAAGTAAGCCACATTGAGTTCTAGAGTGCTAGCTCCGTAGTAAGTCTGTTTAAGATTCCAGCCTAAGGGAGAAAAAGGAAGATGCTGAAAATTAACATACTAATTTTAGCCTGGACTTCTGCTTGCATAAGTGTTTGCTTTCTAGTGAGAGTCTCCTGAAAAATAAAAGTTTGCTTTTAAACAGTACTACTACTACATTGGTTCCATTTGCCTAATGTAACTTGTATTACATTAATGCACAAGGAGTCCTAAAAGTGGAGAAATTACTACCCCATCATTGATTAAAAAGTAAGATTTTTCAGACAGAACTTTGCATAAAATGCTCCTGCTATCTTCTAGTCAACCAGCATATTTCCCATTCCTTAAGATTGCATTGAATAATCTAACTATAGCCACATCTGTTTTTGTGTTTACAAAGCAACTCTTAAAATAGGCAAAGTGTAAGTTCTTAATATGCTTGTTACTACATATTCTCAATTTTAAAACTGACCAATTTTTTTTTTCCAAATTGCCGAAAGATAAAAGGTCACTATTATAACTAGGCTGCTTCTTTTTCCAGCTGTTAGCCAGTATAAAACCCAACATTATTTTGAATTTGAAACATAATATGTAAGCATCTGCCTTGTGTTAATTACACAAAGTGCCTTCAGCCGACAGCACTATTCTGCTTAGAAGGACAGCATGGGTTCTGTTTTAATGGGTAATATTGAACGTCTGTTACAGGTTTTTTGTATATTGTAGTCTAAAGATTAAACACAGTGCTGTAACTATAAGACAAAGTTTACCAGTCTGTTCCTGCTAGTGTCATCTTCTGTCGCTGCAGCTGCTAAATAATACAGTAGCCTTTATATTGAAAACAAAGGTGGCTTTATGTTAAATATCTTGGAAGAAATGTAATGGTCAGTGGGAAACATATATAATGAGCTATTGCATACATTCTGTAAAATTAAACTGAAAGCTGGGTAAGTCTTAAAATCCTGTGCTTTGAAAGAAAATAGCTAACACAAACAATAGAATATGTAAGTACTGATGGTTGTATTTATATAGTGTCACCAGTGTGCATGTTCCTTTAGAGCAGAAAGAGGTTCCTGTGTAATCCATACTCTGATAGAAGTGGAAACAATAGACAGATTGTTATTTGCAAATGGCTTAATGTAGAGGCTCTGAAATCAAAAGCCAAACTTAATTCAAACTAAACCTGAATAAGAAAACAATACACTAATTACCGGTAATCTTATATCCTGCTGTTTTGCTCAAAGGTGGGTTTGGATTATGAATTATTATTAAATATATTTATGTAGTCACCATTTATTGTGTGGCTTGCAACAAAATACTAAACACATAATACAGTGGTACCTTGGTTTGCATACATCTTGGTTTGCATACGTTTTGGATTACAAACACGTCAAACCCGGAAGTGCGTGTCCCTGTTTGCAACCTTTTTTGGGATTACAACCCCCCCTTTTTTTTATTACAAACATATTTTTTTGGGAGGCCCCATTGGCAAAAGCGCGCCTTGGGTTACAACCTGTTTTGGTTTACAAACGGACCTCCGGAACAGATTATGGTTGTAAACCAAGGTACCACTATATACAATAACCAATAAAACAAGAAACCTCAAAAAAACTTACTTGCGTTGAGGCAGCATGAAATAATTTACATCCCTGTTCTAAAACAGTTTAAAAGTTTGGGTGAACAAAAGGGACTTCAGTTGGCACTGAAAATACCACAAAGTCTCTGTATGACCATCTTTGGGGAGGCTGTTCCATAGCTGAGATGCCACTAATCAAAAGTCCCTTTCCTTGGTACCCCCCTGATTTGCTTTGCCTGCTGAAGCTACCCAGAGGAAGGCCTCCAAAGCAATATTAAGCTTCAGGTTGGCATGTGCAGGAAAAGGCAATTGGTACTTTAAATTGGGACTAGATTATTTTTGCAGGAAAGAATTGAAGGAGGCCTTGAGTTTAAGCACTCCTCCTCCTCCTCTGGTATGGACACAAGTGGCCGTAAAGCTTTCTCTTCTCTTTTAGTTTAACCACTAGGTTATCTGAACTATGGTTTGTTGAAATAAGGTAGGTGTGTGCGTGTGCGTGCGTGCGCGCGCACACACACACACACACGGCAACAAATGGCTCCTTAAACCAAGGTAGTCGCCAAAACAGAATATCTAGTTGCCATTTTGGGGCAAGACATATGTAAAGTTTTTTTTAAAAAAATGACTGTCTATGATTGATTATACCAGCATGAGTTTGACCAAACTGCGGGAGGCAGTGGAAGACAGAAGTGCCTGGCGTGCTCTGGTCCATGGGGTCACGAAGAGTCGGACACGACTAAACGACTAAACAACAACAATGATTGATTATTTGTTAAACATCTGGCTAGTTCAGATGACAACCTAGGGCAGTGGTGGCCAAACTTGGCCCTCCAGCTCTTTCGGGACTACAGTTCCTATCATCCCTGACCACTGGTCCTGTTAGCTAGGGATGATGGGAGTTGTAGTCACAAAAACAGCTGGAGGGCCAAGTTTGGCCGTCACTGACATAGAGCTAGGTTAAGAACTTTGTGAACTTAAATAAAAGTCACTTGATCCAGGGACAGTCCATATATATATCAGCCTATTCCTCCCTCTTCTTAATGATGACACAGACCATTCATAATGTAAGAATATTCTTACATTACTGTGAGCAGGGCAGTGGGGTGGGGTAAATGAAGGCAAACTACAACAATTAACTGTAATGTCGTTCACTGCTCCTGTTCAGGCTGCACAGAAAAAGCATTTTGGTTCCTGAAATTCATTCTAATTCTGCAGATAAAATATAACTGATAGAATTCTGCAGGATGTGGTATTAGTGTATGAAAACAGTCAAGATCCAATTATTCCCTGGCATGCACCTCCAGATGGTGGAGATGTCTGGCGTCGCCATCCTGGCACCCAGGTATTTTCACTTGGTTGCAAGTGGCCAATAGGCAGGTGCAAAATGTGCCTGGCTAACTTCGAACACTGCTTCAAACCATAGGTTATAGGTTTGTCTCAATTAACCATAATTACGATTAAGGTGTGAATGTCATGACCAGTTGCAGTGAATCTAAAACAGAAGCAAAAGCTTCCAAACTCATTGCAGTTGTACCAGAAGAGGAAAGTGGGCTTGACTTGTTGAGAGTATAATTGCTGCATCGGGTATCATAGCTAATAGCTTTCCTTTGGGAGGGTAACTTATCTTCTGCAGGTTTAAAATAATAAAATAAATACTTTGTCAGATTTGTTTCTTACTAGTATATTTCCTCTAGTAGACTCTTGACCCAGACTCTTGACTCTTGATTGAAGTGCATAACATTGGAAATCAGTTTTCTATTTATTTGAAATACATTACTTTACCCAACAGTTATCCCCTGATTCTAGGAAGTGTGGGATACTAGTTATAGCTCAATCTTTTGCAAATGTGTTTGGAAGTAAGTTATATTTTGTTCAGTGGAACTTGTTGGGTTTTTTAAGAAAAGGGTGCATAAGATTGAAGTTTCACCTATCAACAATAAGTGATTATTCATACTTGAATAGACCCACCGAAAGCAATAAACTTAAAGTAACATTTTTCTTGGGGGTGTAACTCATTCCATCCTCATTTAGATTGATCACATGCAATGCTCTAAATGAGTGATGGCCAAACTTGGCCCTCCAGCTGTTTTTGGACTACAACTCCCATCATCCCTAGCTAACAGGACCAGTGGTCAGGGATGATGGGAATTGTAGTGCAAAAACAGCTGGAGGGCCAAGTTTGGCCATCACTGCTCTAAACAGTATCTCCTATGCATTGTTCTAGCATAAAATTTCATGTATTTACTGCAGATAAATGTGTGGCACAAAACATGACTGTCTTTAATTGTTTTCCTATTTTGTAATGTGCATTCTTCAGAAGACTGAACTTAGGTCTGTTGTGCATGTTTCCTTGGGTGGCATAGTTGTTTGCATAGTTGTCACCTCCTCTCTGGTTACTGCTCTGGTGCTTTAGATAAGGGATATATTTCCTGCACATGGAACTAGAATAAATTGTGTGTGTCAGTGTGTAACAGTCTATGTAGTATTCTACCAGCTTTGGGATTGCTGATTTTAAATGCAATTAATTTTGCTTGAATAATTTTGACTGGGGAAATGTAACATGGTAAACCTAATGAAAATACAGCCCTAGTGGCTATGTCATACTTAAGTACTGACAGCCCAGAAAATACTCTAGTTTATGTTCCCTTACATGTTAACATGTTTCTTTCCCTTCCCTTAAGAATGTGAAACTGTCTGCTGAAGTAGAACCATTCATTCCTCAGAAGAAGGGTCCGGATTCACTTATGATGTCTATGGCGTTACCTACTGACAGTGGAGGAGTTAATGGCGTGGAACCAGCTCCTATTCCTAGCTACCTGATTACTTGCTACCCATTTGTTCAGGAAAACCAGTCCAATAGGTAATTAAATATATTCTGTGACAAAATAAATGAATGTAAACATTTTCTGCATCTGCCATTTAGTTTTCTGTGTTCCCTAAAATACTGGGAGGCTTTCACACTAAAATTCAGCACTTAAAGCTGAAATTTTGTGCATGTTTTCTTGGGTGTAAGCTGTTCCAAACTTAGTGGCACTTGCTTCTGGGTAAACATGTGAGGATTAGATTGCATGTTAGTTGAATAATATGGTTATAGAAGGAACTTATTTGCTTTCTCTCCAGGTTTTTTTTTTAACCATTCAGAAAAATCATCTATTTTTTTGTGTCTCCTGAATGAAAGGTGGTGAGGCTCAGACCTTCAAGCCACCTCTTAAATTTGCTACAGTATCTGTTAGAGCAGCGAAATTAGCTTCATGCCACTTCCAAAATGTGGCAGTGGCCTCCATTTGCTGCCTTCTTTGCATAGTTGCTGAGAATAGATGAAAGGCAGAAAACTGCTCATATTTTCACCGAGCATAGGACTATGATGAAACCTCTGGAAACATCATGTAATTCAGGTCTCCCTTTGATGTTTAAGGCTGCAGTTGTAATGCCATTTACATGAAAGTAAGCACCATTAAGGGACACGGGTGGCGCTGTGGGTTAAACCATAGAGCCTAGGGCTTGCCGATCAGAAGGTCGGTGGTTTGAATCCCTGTGACGGGGTGAGCTCCCCTTGCTTGGTCCCTGCTCCTGCCAACCTAGCAGTTCGAAAGCATGTCAAAGTGCAAGTAGATAAATAGGTACCGCTCCAGCGGGAAGGTAAACGGCGTTTCCGTGTGCTGCTCTGGTTTGCCAGAAGCGGCTTAGTCATACTGGCCACATGACCCGGAAGCTGTACGCCGGCTCCCTCGGCTAAAAAAGCGAGATGAGCGCCGCAACCCCAGAGTCGGTCACGACTGGACCTAATGGTCAGGGGTCCCTTTACCTTTAAGCACCATTAATTGAGCAGAATTTAATTCTGAATGGACATTGTGAGGACTTGGCTATAAGTTTACCTGTAAAAACATAGGACTGCCATGCTAGTATAGCACTTGATATCTCACAATAGTGTAATACTTAGCTTGTGCAGTACAGTTTGGTGCAACTAGTTCCTCATACCTCAAACTGGACAGCCATATGAACACAGTGGGGAAATGTATGTGGGATGGACAGCACTTAGCACTTGCAAAATCTTTCTTTTTGGTTTTAAAGGAAAGAAGTGGCGCTGGTGGACTCTTGCACACTTAGCCATTCAGAAAGTGTATTATTCTCTTCCTCTCTGCAGGCAACTTCCGCTGTATAACAATGATATCAGATGGCAGCAGCCTAACCCAAACCCTGCTGGTCCATACCTTGCTTATCCCATTATTTCTGCCCAGCCACCTGTTTCTGCTGAATACACGTATTACCAACTGATGCCAGCACCATGCGCCCAGGTCATGGGCTTTTATCATCCATTTCCAGCCCCTTACTCAGCACCCTTCCAGACAACAAGTGCCATAAATACAGTCACAGCAGAATGCACGGATCGCCCAACCCAACCCAACCAGGTCTTTTCATTATGTAGCCAGCAGAGTAGAAGCTCCAACAGGGGACCAGCTGTGCAAAAAGTAAGTCCATTTAGCAAGCAACATAATTGATGGATGAATGGCTAGTTTGGAATATATTGGTGAAGTATATGTTTGTCAATACAGTCCAACCTCAGTCCTCAAACGCCTCTGTTTTGGAACATTTTGGCTCCCGAATGCTGAAAACCCGGAAGTAAATGCTCCGGTTTGCAAACGTTTTTCTGAAGCCGAACGTCTGACGCAGCTTCCTCTTGAGTGCAGGAAGCTCCTGCAGCCAGTTGGAAGCCGCACCTTGGTTGTTGAACAGTTCGGAAGCTGAACGGGCTTCTGGAACGAATTACATTCGACAACCAGGGTTTGACTGTATCCATATCATTGTTGTAAAACACTATGCTGGGATTGAAAATCCTTTAAAAAAATATTTTACACCAGAAATGGAAGAATCTAGAAAATATTTTTGTACAGAGAATAAACTTTTTGAATTCCTCATGCCTTATCTGGGCAGCATAAAGCACAACCTCTCATTTGTGCCCTTTCTCATTTGGCCCTCCAGCTGTTTTGGGACTACAATTCCCATCATCCCTGACCACTGCTGCTGGTGCTGTTTGCTAGGGATGATGGGAGTTGTAGTCCCAAAACAGCTGGAGGGCCAAGTTTGGCCATGCCTCGTTTATGCAATTGGGCATGCACAAAAGCCCAAGCCTAGGTGTTGTGTGTTGCTGATTCAAAACCTTTTCACATGTAGACACACATATATCATAGTTTTTATCTGATACAGGTATCAAAACTAACAAAAGTTAAAACAAGGTCCGTATAAAATGCACCTTTCTGAAAGATAAAATAGTTATTTTTATTTTTTGACTGCTTAGGATTTGAGGATAAAGCAGTTTGAAAAAAATAAAGGACATCCTTAGTTTATTTTGCCAGCAGAATATGGTGGTCACTGAGCTGTCTAAAAAATAGCCTTCCAATATATTTTGCTGTATCTAGTGCACACAAGTCCTGTTGAATTCAGTATGTTTTACACATGTGCAATTGGAGGCAAGATTGTAACCACAGTGTCTGTACACGTCTGTTGTCTAGAGTAATGTAATGTTCACAGTTTTATTTCTTAAAAAGTGGTACAGCATCAGCCTAATTTCATTTTTGGTGTTTCTGAAGTGCTGTGGTAAGATTGTAGTGTTGAATTCGATACATTTTAAAAACCTTTACCCTTCCTTCTTGAAAATCATGAATACCTCTAGCTCACATCCATGCAAACATGAATAGGTGTCATATTTATGTACAGTGGTACCTCTGGTTGCGCACGGGATCCATTCCGGAGCTCCAGTCAGATCCCGAGGAATTCGCAACTGGAGGTACCTGTTCTGCACATGCACACAACGTGGTAGATGAAACCCGGAAAAATACTTCCGGGTTTGCCACGTGCCTAACCCGAAGGATACACAACCAGAGGTGTGCATATCCAGAGGTACCACTGTACTTGCTTTTGAAATTTTATTTTTAAAATGGTTAAATGACAGTTCTTAAAAAAACACAGGCAGCCATACGGATGTCATATTTTTAAAAACTCTTAAAAGCCACCATAATAGTAGATTGCTGCTTTTGGCAAATTAATTCCAAAACGAATTAATAGTGTTTAAGTGCTGCCTAACCTCTGCTTAAGATGTATTAGTGCTGTTAATTTATCCATTTGAGTTACCCTTAATACTGTCTTCCATAATTCCAAGACTGATAGAATTCTGGACCATTTCCAATTCTTAATTATCATACTTGGACACCTACCAAAAGGTTCTCAATACATTTTTAAAAATCACACTTAACAGTTATACTTCAGTAAAGCACTGTTACTGAAATGTCAGAATTTCAGCAACTAGACATGCTAGGCTTGGGTTCCAAACACGTTGCAGTAGCTGGAACATCAGAAGTGTGAATGTACCTAATGTAGAAATCATAGTTTATTAGTTATCAGTACAGATAGATGAAAGCCGCTTAGCAAAATATGAAAGATCTTTAAACAATGGACTGTGTTTGGTACTCATTATTTATTCATTGTTTTGTATGGAACATACGTTGATTTTTTTGTTAAAGTGCTGATTGGTCTAAGGTTAGTTTCCAAATGTTTGCGGATAATATTCAATAATCTTCTGTGGTTATTTTCTATGGAAATTGTCTTTCCTAAACCAAGTCCACTGGCTTACCAAATAAATCTCTTTCCTTGGCTAATCATTTTAAACAGCAACAGCCTCCACAGATACACATAAAAAGCAAAAGGCCTCCAGTGAAAAGTGTTGCTATCCAGAAAGAGACCAGTGCGTCGGGCCCTGAGAGCAGACCTAAAATTGTACTCTTGGTGGATGCTTGTCAGCAAACAGGTACAGTAATATTCTGTGCTTAAGTGAAATTTCATTGTACCTGAAAAGGTCCTTGTACAAAGCTTATATAGGAATATCTGTGATGGAAGTATTGGGTGTTCCTCCCATTCTGAGATGATATGCTTAATCTGCCTTGGCTCCTGGGCAAGTTTACGTTGGCTATTAGGCATCATTCAGGTGGTGTATCTCCCTGCTTTGCCACTAATGTTTCTATCTTTTTAAGTCAAATTTTATTCATTTATTTTCTCAGAACATATTCTTATGAACATAATCACAACTGACAATATATTACTCCTTTCAGTCTAGCTGCCCAAGTCCGAAAATGGTCCAGTCAGGACCAACTATGCTGAATGGCCACAGAATGCTGACCAGGGCAGAGGGAATGGAATATGGGGAAGAAGGAATAGTTTCTTAAAAATGAGCATAATTAACTAGAATCTGGGACATTTCCCACACAACATAGCAACAGCTGTTCTTATTTGTTTTTAGCATTTTGTATTTGATCTGTGCTGTTTTAATTTGTGTAGCACTCCTTGAGTCCCATTGTGGGGGGAAAGTGGGCTATAAATAAAATAAAAATAGGTACCATCCATTGCCTATTTTGCACTTTAGAAACTCAAGCACCAAGGCTGTAGAAGGAAGCGGAAATTATTGCCATCTGTACTTGTAACAAAACTCTCTGGCAATGGGTTGTTCTAGATAGCTATCTAGAATGCCTGATAATTCTATTACTACTGTGACAGCTCTTCTTAACTGCTTGTATGTTTGTGGAAGAAGACTAGGTTGCTTCAAAGGACTGTTGGTTCTTAGTAATCCCACTTGCCTTGCATTGCAGACTTTCCATCAGAGATCGCAAGCAAATCACTGTCTGAGAGTGTGAGCGCCATGCACTGGAAACCAAAAAGCAGGCGGCGGCGAACCTCCCATCCTGCAGAATCCTCTAGTGAGCAAGGGGCTAGCGAAGCAGACATTGATAGTGACAGTGGTTATTGCAGTCCTAAACACAGCAACCAGGCTGCTGGTGTGACCTCAAGGAGCACAGAATCTGCTGCATCAAATGTAGGTAAACGCCTGAAGTGTTTAAAAGGGATGAAGATGGCACAAAATAAGCAAAATCTTAAAATCTCTTCTTTTTTAAAATTTTCAGATGATGGAACCATCAATACATCCAGGTAACTTTCATATATATAGAGAGATCAAAAAATCTCAAGCACTCAAGCTTTGCTGTTTTTGCCAACATTCTCTTCCTAACAGCATCAATAAACCACCTTTTTTTCTATTGTCCTTCCGTCTGATAAATATGCCAGGCCTGAGGTGAAAATTAAGCTCCATAAGAAATGCATATAAGGCTTCATTTTTAATTGTGCATTCCTTCTTATGTTAACACAATGCAAGTAACTTGCAGTAAAGGAACAAATAAATGGTCGTTTAGAAAGAAAACGTTGTACTTGGCAGACAATACACATGGGAGTAATAGCTATAACAAGCCACTTTCATTCAAAATTATCTGATGTGAACCATTAGAACAGGTAAAACTACTGAAAACAGGAAGTAATTTTACAGGGTATATATACACAGAGCTAGATTTTGCACCTAGCTGTCTCTCCCTATATGTATAACTTTCAGTACTGTTGGAGAATGGATATATTTTTTTACACTTTTTTTTCATACATGGAGTATTTCCTTAAATGTCTGCGGCGTTTATTTCAGGAGCCGTCAGTTGGGCAAGTGTCAGTTCCCAAGCAACTCAGAAAAAGCCTTGGATAGAGAGAACACCTGTTTTCTCAAGAGGTGGACGGCAACCTGAGCAGTGTAGTAACTCACAGGTAACCTTTTACTATGAAAACCCTAAACTTAGTGTAAGTTTTGCAGGTTAAGCAGGGCTGTACATCAGTTTCTTTAAAAGATGAAAACTACTGTAGAAAGCATGTAAAACTGGCAGACTTGTACCATGCATTGATTCAGAGCTATAGAGAGCATTTGGGGATACAGTGGTGCCTCGCAAGATGAATGCCTCGCAAGACGAAAAACACGCAAGACGAAAGAGTTTTCCGTTTTTTGAGTCGTTCCGCAAGACGAATTTCCCTATGGGCTTGCTTCGCAAGATGAAACGTCTTGCGAGTTTTTGCGAGTTTGTTTCCTTTTTCTTAAAGCCGCTAAGCCGTTAATAGCCGCTAAGCCGTTAATAGCCGCTAAGCCGCTAATAGCCGTGCTTCGCAAGACGAAGAGACTCGCGGAACGGATTAATTTCGTCTAGCGAGGCACCACTGTATCATTAAAGGGCACATGAGATTTATAACCATTTAGTCATGATAAGAGTTATTTCATGATAGTTGGGAAAAGTACCAGTCCATAATATGTTTTGGGTTGTGTTTTTTTAATGCACGTGTAGCCTGCCTTTAGATGTAGGGGACATAGCACATCTTCAGAGAGAAGACAGAACTTGCAGAAGAAACACGAGAAGCCTATAACCATAAACCAGTCAAACAGAACCGAGCCAAGTCCTGAGCCCCTCTATTTTGAGGTAACTTTTTTATTAATTCATAGTAATTGTCACACAAAACCCTCACTGAAATTTTTGAGTGGACGATGGCGGCCTTGTAATTGGTTTATCCTGTTTTGTCAGCTCCACTCCACCCTGTCTGCCTCTGGAAGAAGCGAACCATAAGGATTTGCTCGATGTTACTTGCAAATCTTGTGGTTTCTTTCTTTCTAAACAAACAATGAGTAGAAGCCAAGATTTGTTCTTTGCTTGCCGTTTGCAGTTTGTTTGGAAGAAGCAACCTGTGGTTACTGGTTCACACATAATCCTAAGCCAGGTTTCATGGTTTGTTTCTCCTGGAGGCAGGCAGAGCTGAATCCATGAACCAGAGCTCCATGCACCAGCATACTGTTCACTGTTCAGAGTGAGCCTTGGTTTTATTTTTGACCATGGATTATTGAACTATATGGGGAACCTTGGGGCCCGAGGCAGAATGCCACCCTCCAGGTCTCTCTATCTCCCGCTTTGGCCTTGCTTCCTCCTTGAGCATTTTTGCCTGGCTTGCTTGTGTCACTCGACTCATTAAACTTCTTGCTTGCTTGGATGCCAAACAAAGAGGGATTGGGGAGTGTGTGTGTGTGTGGAAATTATTGTACAAAGGTACAAATGTTATCTGTTGCTCTTCCCATTTCTGTTTCTGGCACTACCCACTACTATCAGGTAGCCCCTGAAAGACTGCCCAGGAGGACCTGTGGCCCTCGGGTTCCCAACACCAGGATTATTATTATGTGCAAAGAAGGCTGTTTTTGTCTCCTACATAATAGGCATTCTCATTTTGAAAGCATATAAACTTGCCTTTCAAATTTCATTGTTACTTTTTAGTGTGTCCTAGAATCTTGCTGCCAGCATCTTCCCTTCTCTAATTGTTGCATGACGAGTGTCTCATGATTGGGCAAGTTATTCTTTTTTAAGCATTGCAGAATGGCATCTGCTAACTCTGCTAATGGCTTAAGTGAGGCCTTGGTGCCTAGTAGAGATAGAGCCATGCAAACTAAATTCATTTCAAATCCTCCCAATATTTTTATTTAGGATGAAGACGAATTTCCAGAGTTAAACAGTGAAAATGGAAATTCCAAGGGTGGTAATATGCAGCTGAAACATGCCCCTAAAGTGGTAAGAGGCTTTTATAATGTAAATAGTATTTTGATTTAAATTAGCTGCTTTTCTTCGCTAGATATTGTGATTGACTATTGATAATGCAGCAGCAGTGAATGCTTCTGTTCTGTGGGGGTGGAGAAAAAGAGAATGTGCTGGAACGAGGTGCAGAATTCAGTTTCATAAGAATATTTGCTTTTAAAGAAGGAAGCATGTTTCTAGCCCTTTATGGCTTGGATTATATGCCCGAAAGTATGATCAATGTCTGCTGAAATCTCAAAAGCCAGAGGTGGGGAAGGAGCTTCAACACCTTGCATAGCTCGTTATTCTAGTCATGACTGGAGTAATAATTGGAATAACTAATGCAAAATAGAAGAGTACTGTTTTCCCCCTCCATGTGCATATACCAGCAGCAAGTAAAAAGATTCAGCCTTTCTGGAGTAAATCATTCATGCTAGTAATATTTTGAGTCTCTAGATTATTTATGAGTTGCCTTTTTCATGTGACCTCAAAGCCATTGGTAGAGGACTGCAGCTGCAAATAATTGCTTAGACTTAACTGAGATACTGTTTAAATAAAGCACTCAGATCACTTAGGGAGTCCTATATGAGTGTACTAAGTTGTGTGCTGATACAGTTGAGGTAGTTTGGGAAACAAGGTCAACTTGGGCAAGTTTGTGATGAGCTATGCTTTCTGTTGTAACACCTTTAAAGCTGTGCTCCCTCTCCTTGTTCACCCTAGTTGGATGGTTTACCCGAAAATTCTCCAATCAATATTGTACAGACTCCAATTCCAATCACCACATCTGTTCCTAAACGGGCAAAAAGTCAAAAGAAGAAAGCCCTAGCAGCAGCACTGGCTACAGCTCAAGAGTATTCAGAAATTAGCATGGAGCAAAGAAAACTCCAGGTCTGTTCTTTTTTATGTTATAATCGTGATTGGCTGCATATTTAAATCAGGGACAGCCAGCTGGAAGCCTCCGGCCTGGGTACAATCCCCAAAGCAATCATAATTACCAAAGGAGCCCTGGTGAACCTACCAAAAAGTTCATACATCTTCACTTGCAAGAAGAATGTTCAAGTTGTAATATTTCCTAGAATTACATCTCTCCTTCTAGGTTTTGTATGTACTGCCTTGGCTATGCCTTTGTTGTTTGTAAGCACAAAAATATTATTGCTATATTGAACCAACGGTATCTTCTAGCACCCCACCCTCGGGAAAACAGATTAAACACCAAAATCAGGCACCCCCAGCCTTTGGCCCTCCAGATGTTTTGGACTACAATTCCCATCATCCCTGACCACTGGTCCTGCTAGCTAGGGATCATGGGAGTTGTAAGCCAAAACATCTGGAGGGCCGCAGGTTGGGGATGCCTGGCCAAGATCATGGGAAGTTTATAATGCCTGGTTTAAGTTATGCCTCTGGTCACTGGAGGTGAACTGTAGTACTTTTATTCTGATTATAGGAAGCAGTTTCAAAAGCAGCTGGAAAGAAGAGCAAAACACCTGTGCAGTTGGACTTGGGGGATATGCTAGCCGCTCTTGAAAAACAGCAGCAAGCTATGAAAGCTCGCCAGATCACAAATACCAGGCCCCTTTCCTACACAGGTGGGTGCATCTCTCTTGGCTGGTTTTTATAGCTAATAGTTTCTCAGCTGTTTTCCACCTAAGGCTAACCTGTGGTCCTCCAAAATCTGTTGGACTGCAGTGGCAATCGGCCCCAACCAGTGTGCCAAATGGTTGTAGATGATCGGAGTACGTTTTTGTTATTCAGTAAATGTTCGTACCATTCTGTATGATGAATAAAGTCAGGTTGGCTTGCGTATGTAATATTAAATGTCAGGGTGGCTTATTATATTTATAAAAAAGTATAGAATACAATAATGCATTAAAACCAGTACTACAACTACTACTACTACTACTACAACAACAACAACAACAACAACAACAACAACAACAACAACAACAACAATTTATTATTTACACCCCCCCCCCCAATCTGGCTGGGTTTCCCCAGCCACTCTGGGTGGCTTCCAACAAAAGATTAAAAATACATTAAAACATCATACATTAAAAACTTCCCTAAACAGGGCTGGCTTCACATGTCCTCTAAACATTAGATAGTTCTTTATTTCCTTGACATCTGGTGGGAGGGCATTCCACAGGGCTGGTGCCACTATCGAGAAGGCCCTCCGCCTGGTTCCCTGCAACTTCGCTTCTCACAGTGAGGGAACCGCCAGAAGGCCCTCGGCGCTGGACCTCAGTGTCCAGGCAGAATGATGGGGGTGGAGACACTTCTTCAGCTATACTGGGCCGAGGTCGTTTAGGGCTTTAAAGGTCAGCACCAACACTTTGAATTGTGCTCGGAAACATCCTGGGAGCCAATGTAGGTCTTGCTAAGCCAGCAGCAGAAAGCAATTCCTTGTTACAAATGACCAGCTGCCCGTAAATGCTTTGGTGAACAGAGACGTTTTCAACTGCTGTGGAAACTCATAAAATATAGACTACAATTATATTTCTGCTGCGAGTAAGTCCTATAGCCAGGGTGCTACCACAGAAAAGGCCTTATATTGAGTCACTGCCTGATGCACTACAGTAAATGGCAGAACCTCCAGAAGGGCTGCTTCTTCAGATCTCAGGACCTAGGCACCTACAGATGTTTGGATTTCAAGTTGTTCAGGGCTTTATATGTCAACAGCAACATTCTGGATGCTTCTGAGCCCAATTCAGTCAGTGCAACTCTCTCATAAAACTGATGTCATATGGCTTCAATAAGCTACACCACTTGGCAGTCTGTCAGCTACTTTCTGCACTAGTTTACACTTCTGAATCCCCTAAAAGGGTGGCTCCATGTAGAGTGGATAATAATACAGCGCTATTAGGATCCGGGGGTGGGGGGGTGGGAGCTATGGTTCAAATCTCCACTCAGCCTAATCTGGCTAACAGTATTGTTGCAAGGATAAAACGCAAGCCTCCGCAATTTCAAAAAATGGTTTCTGTGTGGCAATCCTCCTTGAGTGTATGAGGCTGGCTGTGCAGTTATTTGAAAGCCAGCCAATTCTGCTAACAATTGAAATAACATACTATTAATTTTAAGGGACATGCCATGTTTCTGTTTCCTTGCTGAGCTAAAGTGTTCCTGCAAAACAGTAGACTAAACCGAATACTAGTTTAAAGCCATCTGGAAGCAGAATCGTTCCATTGTGTAACTTTCCTGTCATTGTTGTCGGTTTTTGTTTCCAATGAGAGGAAAAGGCTTTTGTAACAAGGGGAGGGGGGGTTTGCTAACGTTGGTTTTCTTTCAGTAGTAGGGGTTAGCGTAATGGTTGTCTTGATTTCATTCAGTTGGCAGTGCTGCACCTTTTCATGCCAAAGAACCTGCCAGCCGAAAATCCTTAACTAAAGGACAGCCGTCAGTGGGTTGTCTCAATCCTTTGGACTCCACTGCCCCAAAAGTGAAACGAGGAAAAGAAAGGGAGCTCTCAAAGCTGAAGCGTCCAACAGCACTTAAAAAGGTAAGCAGTTTCTAGAATGTTGCCTGTGGACATGGTGATCATGACTCCTAATGGCCCAGCTTATTTTATTTTATTTTTATTGAAAGCAGGAGACAGGATAAGTTTCCATTCATGATCATGACATATGGTTCCCCTCCCACCCAGATGATAGGAACAAGCAGAGCACCAAGGAAGCCAACCAGCCAATCAATACTGTCTCAGTAAAAGTGCTTGATTCAAAAAATGGTCTCCTTGTTCACAAAAACACAGTTCCCTTGATGAGCTGTTCTTCTCTTTGCCCCACAGCATCTATTTCTGTGTTAATTCCCAGGGTTTGCCCACAGTGACTTGTGCTGTGGGCCAAGCTGCCAATCTAAGGGTCGCCTATATTTAAGGTCATCTTTCTCATTCAGTGGCCTCTCTGCAAAGGCTGATACTGTATGCCCTTAAGACCAGTTGTGTTATTTCCAGCGGATGAAAAGTGGACATTTTACGCCACAAAAAGCTAAAAGGTTATATTTGCTTGTTTCTTTTCGGCAGCCCCCTTTGCATGCACAGCAACAACGCTGCCTCTGACTCTCCTGCACTCCAGCCCCGGGTCAGGCTTGACCTGGAAGTGCAGCTGCTGCAACCGGGTGTGAGAAAGCTGCCTCAGTAGCTCCCTTGCATGCCGGAGCCAGGCTTCAATGAGGGAGCATGTCATGGGGGTGCCTGGTTGCGCCCCTTCCAAAAAATGTGCCTGGGGCTATGGCCCAGTTATGATGTCTGGGTCACAGGCTAACCACATACTTTATCTGTACCAGAGAGCATAAAGCTGGTAATCACTATCTTGTTAACTGTGTAGGATATGGCCCATAAAAGGCATTTAATGAACAACGCAGCCTAAATGGCTTTCCTTTATACATTTTGGGATCCCAAAGATTTTTACAATGTCCCAGGTACATTGAGATTGTTGAATCGGTTAATCATAAATACTGTTTTGCACCACTTCTAAATAATAGCCGTATCAATTTAAATACAGTGGAATCTTGGGTTAAGTTAACCTCGGGTAACGTAAACTTCGGGTTGCGAAAGCAGCAAACCTGGAAGTGTTTCGCCGTGCGCACATGCGCGGAAGTGTTCTACCACCGTGCGTGCATGCACAGAAGCGGTCTCTTCAGTTGCGAAAACTTTGGGATATTGCCGGACCTCCGGAATGGATCCCATTTGCAACCGGAGGTACCACTGTACTTGATTATTGTTGCATGGTTTTATTTGCAGGTGTGTGAGCAAAGGATTTTGGGGGGAGAAAAGTGTTTTTCAATTCTGACTTATTTTCATATGTTGCTGTGTTTTCTTCTTAAAAAGAAAGCATGCAAAAGTCAGGCATAACAAGGGCTTGGATCCAGTGATGTCCTATGTTAGCAGAAAGGCACCTCTGCTTATGCAAGACAGCACCACTGAATTATCCCAACTCTTCTCCGTCTTGCTACAACCTCCAGGGCCCTGTTCTGCGCTGTTTTGGGGGTCCATTGATCCTCCAGAGCAGCTTTGAATGATGGGGTGGTGTCTAGCTTGTACAACAAGATTTTCTCTCCCCCATCTCTCAGATCCTACCCAATATGAAACAAAATAATACAGTTGTGAGGAGGCTAAGTTAGCTATTGCACATACATAAAAATGACAACTAATGGATTCGCCACTCCAGAGAGAAGGAAATTGAAATTTGCAATCATCAAGTATCATGTTCTTGAAATAAAAGATTGCATGTGCCACTGAGGAGCACAGCAAGATTTAAAATCATCTGGCAATTGAAATCACTATTTGCCCTAAATATTGGCAGATAGATTTATTATTCTCTGGTTTGCAATAAGGATATAATTTTATAAATGTGGTTAATCTTTTCTTTAAAAGAACTATTCTGTTTTAGAATATTTGATTATGTATATGATACTAATCTTAGTAACGTATTGTATATTATAATATATTCCCAACTTTTACATTGTTTCCTAATTTTCTTTTGAAACGGGTAATTTTCCTTTCTCGTGGTGTTTATAAAAAATACAATTTTTTCCTGCTGTCCCTTTATCGTTCAGAACATCCACCCACTTCTGAAAAATGACTTGCACTTAGGAACAAAAGATCCACATTAAATTTGCTATCCCTTTTTCTACAAAGCAGCAAGCTTATTAATTTGTAGAAGAAATTAGCATTGCTCACATTATCCTAAACTGTCTCTCCACCCCACCCCCCAGATTATCTTGAAAGAAAGAGAAGAAAAAAAGGGACGCTTATCTGTAGATCATACCCTTCTGGGAGCTGATGAAGAACAAGAGGTGAATCTGACTCCAAATCAGTCAGAAGACATAGCATCTCAAGAAGGTCAGAACTCTAAAGATTGAACTGAAATATCTGTCTAGATACAGTAATATGCTTTACAGTATTCCCTGTGTGCATGTATGTGCCCTTGAACATTTTGTTTGTTTGTAATTTTAAGTAGAGTTACTAAATCAGGAGCTCTGTGTCTTGCCTATGGCAAGTATTGTTTTACTTAGGAATTTGGACCAGAAACAGTAAGCTTTGTACATGTTTTTAATCTAAATTGTAAATATAATGTCACTCCAGAAGCTATTTTAGCCTTTCAAGAGCAGTAGGAGTCTGTGGAGGGGCAGCTGAAGAGCCTCTACAGCAGGCTTCCTCAACCTTGGCCCTCCAGATATTTTTGAGATTACAGTTCCCATCATCCCTGATCACTGGTCCTGCTAGCTAGGGATCATGGGAGTTGTAGGGCCAAAAAAAACATGGAGGGCCAAGGTTGAGGAAGCCTGCTCTATAGTAACATAGTCCATGACTTGGCAGCCTCAACATCTCAGCCTATAAGTTTTAAAAATTGTCTTGTTAGTTAATTGCTAGCTGTAGTTTAATATTTCCCCCCCAACTGAAAACAAAACAAAACAAAAAAAACCAGCACAGCAACCACATGGTGTCAGTGCACCATTGTTTTGATGCACAAAAGCTGGATCTGTCAGATCATACTATTGGCTAGTCTGGTTTACAGTGTTGGGTTCTTTTGAAAGTGTAATGGTGGCGTAAAGGAATGATATGTTCCAGTGATCCACACAGATGCTGTTTTTGACCTTATTATTTTCCTGTTACAGAAACCGGCTTGAGTGTGCCGAGTGACACTTCACTCTCTCCGGCAAGCCAAAATTCTCCTTACTGCATGACTCCGGTATCCCAAGGCTCACCTGCCAGTTCAGGAATAGGTAGCCCAATGGCTTCTTCAACCATCACGAAGATTCATAGCAAGAGATTCCGAGAGTAAGAGCTGTTTTTAAAAACTAACCTTCTGCATCACTTGTCCAATAAAATGTGTGTTACAATGTAAGTAGAATGATAGAATTGTAGAGTTGGAAGGGATCATGAATTTCATCTAGTCTAGCCCCTTGCAATGCAGAAATCTTTTTGCCCAGTGTGGGGCTCAAACCCATGACCTTGAGAGTAAGAGCCTCATGCTGTACCAACTGAGCTATCCCACAGAGTTTAGTTTATAATGGACCAAAAAAACCCAAGTTCAGCCCATGCTGCAAAGCATGACAGTTGCACTTAAATAAATCCCAGCTATGGTATGCATAGTGTATCATAGACAGGAGAGAAGGTATCTGCACCCCAAACATATTTGGATATCTTAGTCAAGTCATAACTAGAAGAGAATACAAAAATAGGTATTCTTAGCCAATCCTGATGAGAGGAGGATTTTGTAAATTACCCTTTGTGACAGACCACCTGTCTTTGCTTTACCTTTCTGTTCGAGTGCCTGGGGTTACTTTGAGTAATACTAGGTTTTGGTATTCTGGATACCAATATTTGGTTCTCTAAATGATTTTAGGATAGATTTTTGGGGGAGATACTTTAGTTTAGCCGGTTTGTATCAGAAACTTCTGTGCCATATTCTCTGCTAGTTTGAAATTTGGAATAACTGACAAAATAAAAACAATGATTCTAAAATTACACAAAGTTGTAGACATAAATGGCAAATCTGCCATGAAATATCAAGATAAACTTAAATATGTTTAATGAAAAGCTCTTTTAAAAAGGAATGCTTCAGCAGCCAAAAGTACAGTGGCCAGGCAGATCTTGTGTGGAAGAAAATTCCCTTTCCAGCATCTTCCCTAACCTCACCTTAGAAAAGGATGGGGCATTCGGTGTGGTCTGTCCTTCTGATATAAAACCCTCTCTAAAGTATGAAGGTCCTGCTCTGATAATGGCTTTAAAACCAGCACCATAATTTGGGCTTGGAAACTATTAGCCTAGGCAGTTGTGCTTAAGATAAGAGGTATTCATTCTCCATAGCCAAGCAAATACGCAGCAGGAATTTGCATCAGCTGCAGCTTCTGAATAGTGTAGTTATATGTAATATTTCAAATTACCTAGCACAGGTAACAGAGACCAGAGCTCCATCAGTGAAGAAGAGGGTCCAATTGGCTCACCAACTATTCCTGGATTCCTGTGATATTTTGCCCTTTCACACAACACTTGTAAATTACATTTGTACATGTTTCCAGATGCTGAAGTCATCTTGCCATTGAAAAACAAAATGAGCAAAACAATTTTCAAGTGACGTGGAAAAAGTATGGAAGGCCTGCATTCAGGGCAGCCTTGTAAATAACCCCAAGGAAGATACTAACCTCCAAAATACTTTATTACCCTGCTGGTGGCTCATTTCTTTCTCCTCTCTATCTTTGTGTGGAGTCAAAAGGAGAAATGGAGTGCTTGGTCATCATTAACTTGCTTGCAGTTCCTTATTTCCTGTGGCTACCAGGTGACAAATACAAGGCTGACCAAAGAGCGAATGTGGTGGCTTGAAATTGCTTTTTAAACATTCATAAGCTGTGACTGGAGCTTAAGGAACACAGAGATATACTACTTGCCAGGCTTTTTTTCTATAAAAAAAGAGGTGCTGGAACTTGCTGAGGTTTTTAAGGGAAGCACCCACCCAAAGCTGTTGAGCTTTTTCCAGCTGAAAAAAAAGCCCTGCTTCCTGCAGTGCAGATAGAAAGGCTTTAAAGTGATCTTTAAGTGGAAGACCAGGGTTCAAATCTGGATTTGTCCATGAAGCTCCCTGAGCCAGGCATGATCTCTCGGCCTAGCCTACCTCACACGGTTGGTGAAAGAAAAGAAAATGATGAAGGGGAGAACCATGTACACCACCATAAGCTCATTGAAAGATAGGTGTGTTATACATGCAATAATCAAAATAAAATAAATATATAGCTTTGGGCTACTTAGCAGATTAAAGTACAGTGGTACCTCGGGTTACATACGCTTCAGGTTACAGACGCTTCAGGTTACAGACTCCGCTAACCCAGAAATATTACCTCAGGTTAAGAACTTTGCTTCAGGATGAGAACAGAAATCGTGCTCCGGTGGCGCAGCAGCAGCGGGAGGCCCCATTAGCTAAAGTGGTGCTTCAAGTTAAGAACAGTTTCAGGTTAAGAACGGACCTGTGGAACGAATTAAGTACTTAACCTGAGGTACCACTGTACCTGGGTATTTTAACACAAGCTTTTCTCTCATATAGAGGGATGAGCTAAAGGACTTCAGAAAAGTGTAAAAACCTTGAGGAAAGGATAGTGAAAGCAGTTTGGCCTTCTTGAACTTTGTCTTATTGTATCCCTTCTGACTTTACAGGTACTGTAATCAAGTTCTAAGCAAAGAAATAGATGAGTGTGTGACCCTCCTGTTGCAAGAGCTTGTCAGCTTCCAAGAACGAATTTACCAAAAGGACCCCATGAGAGCAAAAGCAAAGAGGAGGCTTGTGATGGGTTTACGCGAGGTTACAAAACACATGAAGTTAAACAAGATCAAGTGTGTTATCATTTCTCCAAACTGTGAGAAAATCCAGTCAAAAGGTATTAATGATTATCTCTGGTGGACCACCTTCTCTTACAGCTTCGGTCTGGTTCTCTGCTTCAACACGGAATCATTTTTGTTTCTTTTTGCCTATGCTGTTTTTTATTCTACGGGGCACTGAGGGGCTTTCAAAGAGTTGTGTGCAGAGTACCATGTGCACGCTGGGGCTTTTCTGTCTCCCTTTCCTCCTGCAGCTCCTTTCACCCCTCGAGAAGCCCCTGCAGAGGAATGCAGAATGATTTTGTGTGGCGCAGAGCCTGCCGATGGGGCAGGGGTTGTGGGCAGAAGACACAAGCAGATGTCATGACATGCACACACTTTATGCACTTTCTACTTGCACGGGAGGAGGGATTGCAACCTGGCTCACACATAGCTTGAAGCCAAAACTGGCTTAGCAGAAATAAGTACATGTGTGGGCTTCCGGAGAGGAGATCATGGCTGCTTTGCTTCTCTCCTCCATTTGTTCTGCTGCTGCACTAAGGCATAGTCCACCTTAACATGTTGTTTGAACTTGGGCTCATGGTTTAAGTGTACGCCAGACAAAACCGCAAGCTGTAACCAAAGTTGGTCTTTTGGCTTACAGCTTGTGGATTTTCTGGGAGCACTGAACCACAGGCCTGGTTCAGACAATACGTTAAGCCAGTACAAGTTTAGTGCGACACAGCAGTCACGATCTCTGTGGAAGCCCACACATCTGCTCATTCGCAATTTGGCTTGGCATTGTCCTAACAAGGGCTTTATATTTTAATTGAACTTCCTGTCTAAGGCCTTTAGACTTTTTCTTTAGAACCTTATCTTACTGATAAAAATAAGTTGGCTTAATGTAGCAATTTAGCCATCATTTTATCCTTACATATGTAGCATCTTAAAACTGGCAAATTATATTTAATTATATGACTGAATTTTGAGCTGCAGCCAGTACCAACTTCCTGACTCATGTGCCTGTGTGCTGCGGGTTTTTGTGACATCCGCATTTTGTGTTTTTTTGGTATGCTCTTAAATCTTAGCTCTTTGCCTAAAATACAGAATGTGTGAAAGGTTTTAATAGTTCTTCATCCTGTGCTGCATTGATACAATTTTCATTGGTTGGAAATGTGTAGTTGGACTTAAGCATTTGATTATTGATGTAAAGTTAGCAGACTTTAAACTAGTTATGAGGAAGTTCTTCACAATTTAATCTTCTGTTGTTCTCCCGGCATGTACCAAGGTGGACTGGATGAAGCTCTGTACAACGTAATAGCCATGGCACGGGAACAAGAAATCCCCTTTGTCTTTGCCCTGGGTCGTAAAGCTCTTGGTCGCTGTGTGAACAAGCTAGTTCCTGTTAGTGTGGTGGGAATCTTCAATTATTCAGGTGCTGAGGTAAGAGCATATAAATCAACTCTGCCACTATGCTGTGAATTCTTTCTGTTTCACTGAGTTCCTAAGATTACAGTGGTACCTCGGGTTACATGCGCTTCAGGTTACATACGCTTCAGGTTACAGACTCCGCTAACCCAGAAATAGTGCTTCAGGTTAAGAACTTTGCTTCAGGATGAAAACAGAAATCGTGCTCTGGTGGCGCGGCGGCAGCAGGAGGCCCCATTAGCTAAAGTGGTGCTTCAGGTTAAGAACGGACCTCCGGAACGAATTAAGTACTTAACCTGAGGTACCACTGTATTCATAATGGTGCCTGACCCATGCCACATATCCCATTACTGAGCTTTGTATGTGTTGCGTTCTCCACACTTTTGAAGTAACCCAGATCAAATCCTCCTCTTCGCACACGTCCATGCATCCTAAAACGTGAAGAGTACTGCCTGCCCATCAAATGCGATACACAAGAAGCATGAGAGTAGAGTCAGGCTCCTGCTTTCAAATGAGCACTCTTGCAGAAATCTAATTGGTTCCTTCACAGAATTTCGAAGAATGACAGGAAATGAGCCTGGAAAAAGAGCAGGCTAAAAATACACTAAAAGCACTTACCCATTTTTGACACGTGAATATGGGCCATATCCGATATTAAATGTGTGTCTTTTTTTTCTCTTAATCGGAAGAGAAATTGGAGTGAGAGCCAGAAATCTCATCTTCATTAAATATTAAGGAAAGTGGCTCACAATGTTTTTACAAAACGTAAGTGTCATATTCACTAGGGAGTGCTCTGTTAAGTAAAATGATGCTTCCATTTTGCACTAAGCTACACCATTCAGTGGAACACACATACCCCTGCCCCCCCCCCCAATTTCAAACTAGGCTTTATAATTCAGATGTAATCAAAGGATCTTATTTTATCTACATTTTATTGCCATGCCTAATTTTAGTTGGCATGTAGAATTTTAGCTGGTGCAGAACTAGAATGTTTTTTTTTTGCTATCCCTATAATGAATTTCTTCAGCCAAGTGATACCCTTATGTGGCTAGGATCTAGGGATGAATTCCAGTCCATGGTAATTTAACAAGTGTTTACAAGCCAGTTTCATTCTGTTTCTGCATTAAGCTGCAATTTCAGAGAGAGTGTGTAAACTTAGTTTATCTCAGCATATTCATGTCTAAATATGGGTGGTATTCAGCTAAAGTTTACTCAGAGTAGACCCATTTAAATTAATGAACCTGACCTAAGTTTAGGTCCATTAATTTCATTGGTTCTACTATGAGTAAACCTTACCTGAATACCTCCCACTTAATTCTAAATTACATTTGTAATGCATTTTATTACATTTTGGGTGACTGACAACCCCAGATCTTGGGATACAAAAGAGCAAAATCCAGACTATAATTCTGTTCCATTCCACATGTTAGTGTTGGTTTGTATCAGCATTCCAAGAAATCAGATTCCTCAAACATCCCTCAAAGACCATTGTCTATACCTCTAGCTAGTGTGCAGTTCTTTCTCCCAACTTGATCCACAATCCCTGTGGATCTATAAACTTGAGGCTATCAGTAGGTAAGGTTACTACTGTTTCAACTATCTCCTTCTGAACTACCATGGTACAGTCTTTGGGTCGCAGAATGAGAGGCTTGTTGGTTTCCCTCCTCAGATTCCTTGTTGTTGTTTAGTCGTTTAGTTGTGTCCGACTCTTCGTGACCCCATGGACCAGAGCACGCCAGGCACTCCTGTCTTCCACTGCCTCCCACAGTTTGGTCAGACTCATGTTTGTAGCTTTGAGAACAGTGTCCAACCATCTCGTCCTCTGTCGTCCCCTTCTCCTTGTGCCCTCCATCTTTCCCAACATCAGGGTCTTTTCCAGGGAGTTTTCTCTTCTCATGAGGTGGCCAAAGTATTGGGCCTCAGCTTCACGATCTGTCCTTCCAGTGAGCACTCAGGGCTGATTTCCTTAAGAATCAATAGGTTTGATCTTCTTGCAATCCATGGGACTCTCAAGAGTCTCCTCCAGCACCATAATTCAAAAGCATCAATTCTTCAGTGATCAGCCTTCTTTATGGTCCAGCTCTCACTTCCATACATTACTACTGGGAAAACCATGGCTTTTACTATATGGACCTTTGTTGGCAAGGTGATGTCTCTGCTTTTTAAGATGTTGTCTAGGTTTGCCATCGCCTTTCTCCCAAGGAGCAGGCGTCTTTTAATTTCATGACTGCTGTCACCATCTGCAGTGGTCATGGAGCCCAAGAAAGTAAAATCTCTCACTGCCTCAGATTCCTTGGGCACCTGTATTAGAATGCAATGCCTTGTTTCAAGACAACTTGTGACACTAGAGTGTCCTGCCTTGAAAGCAGGGGACCTTCCAATAAAGAGATGCAGATAACAATGTGGTCTCTTGGGATAGCTTTTATCTCTTGCTGGGGTCTGTCTTTTAGAACCTCTTCAACAAATTGGTGTCACTGACAGAGGAGGCTAGGAAAGCCTATCGGGACATGGTTGCAGCAATGGAGCAGGAGCAGGAAGAGGCCTTGAAGAACATTAAGAAGGTGCCCCACCACATGGGGCATTCTCGGAATCCTTCTGCAGCAAGTGCAATTTCATTCTGCAGTGTTATTTCAGAGCCCATTTCAGAAGTGAATGAGAAAGAGTACGGTGAGTGCATTTTCAAAACAATGCTTATGTAGCAGAATCGTACTGAGAGTGAGTTAGCTGTCAACTTCTTTCCTTTCCCCCTTCCTTTAATGTTGATGATCTGCTTATTTTATGATCATGAAGCAAATTTTGGGGGGTTTTCCTGCCCCTGCGGCTGATTGGCTAGTGGCTTTGGGGGGTTTTTGCCTCATTTTTTGTGGCCTCGCACTCCGAATTGAGGCATCTGGATTGCCTGACTAAACAGGAGTTGCCTTCTGGTGTGAGATGCTCGATTTGCTCCTCCACTCTTCTTGCGGCACACTGGTTTGGATGACAAGATTTGTGTGTAGGGGTTTTATTTTTTGATGTGGAAGTGAATCAACATGTGCGGGATGACACCTTGCAAGCAGGATGATAAACTAGATGGTCTCTACACTCAACCCAGCCATAGATGTGGATATTCCTGTAAATGTAAGTTTGTTTGATGTGACTGACTGAAAAGAAAAACCCCTTACTCCAAAGTAATGCAGCCCTGTGAAATAGGCCTCAACTCATTGCCGGAACATATGTTCTTGTTGCAGAAGCTCCTTACTAGTTGTCGCGAGCAAAATGCATCAAATCGAGTGGTAAAACCCACCTGGGTTTAAATAAAATTAGGAACATAGGAATCTGCCTTATATTGAATCAGATAATTGGTCCCTCCAACTCAGTATTGTCCACACTGACTGGCAGCAGCTCGTTGGGATTTCCAGCAGGATTCTCTCCCAGTCCTTCCAGCAGATACGAGGATCAAACCTGGGAGCTTCCAGACACAGTTCTGTTCACTGGAACACTAGTTAGAATGGCTTTTTCATTTCTCTCTCTCTCTCTCTCTCTCTCTCTCTCTCTCTCTCTCACACACACACACACACACACACACACACACAGAAAGAGAGAGAGAGAGAGAGACAGACAGACAGACAGAGACAACCCCAAAGCTTGGTTTTCTATGGAGAGCTGTTTTTCATTTAATTGATTCTTAAACAACTTTAAAGCAATTAACTGGAAGCCTGCATGCACCCCAATATTCTACAGTGTTAATGTTAAGCAGCTAGCAGTGGTGCATAGAACCTAACCTGTGTTCTATACTTCCTTCTCATGGCAACACATCTGACTGTAATTTCTGTTTTTTGCCATTCTCTCTTCCCCACCCTACCTTACCCCAAGATTGATATAACTGAATTGGAGGGGGGGAAACCTTTTCTCTGATACCCCCTGAGAAAAGTTCTAAAATTGCACTTTGCTTTTGTGTGAGGGTGAGTGGAAAGTGTGTATGTGTGTGTATAACAACTGTTTTAAAAAAGAACAAAACCACACCTCTTTCTGCGTGTCAACCATTCCCAATCTTTTCTGCATTTCTTCCCCTCCCCAGAAACAAATTGGAGGAACATGGTGGAAACATCAGATGGATTGGAAACTTCTGAAAACGAAAGAGAAGCCTCTTGTAAGGTTGCTGCTCCAGAAAAGCCCGACAGCAGTAAGGCTGTTGCTAATAAGCAGCTGTCTCTAGCATCTGTTGGGGTTGTTGCAGTCACAATGCATGGGAAAGCACTTGGTGGTGGCAAGGAAGAACCCAAACCAGATGACAACCTGGAATGGGCCTCGCAGCAAAGCACAGATACCGGATCTTTGGATGGCAGTTGCAGGGATATTTTGAACTCCTCCATGACCAGTACAACCAGTACCCTTGTCCCAGGAATGCTTGAAGAAGAGGAGGATGAGGACGAGGAAGAGGACGATGACTACACCCATGAACCTATATCTGAAGAAGTTCAACTCAACAGCAGAATTGAATCTTGGGTCTCAGAGACTCAGCGGACTATGGAAACGCTTCAGCTTGGGAAGAGCCTTAGCAGTGCAGAGGATGAGAATGTTGAGCAAAGTGGTGAGGAGGAAGAAGCCGAAACTCCCGAGCAAGTGGATTCGGTCGTCGACAGCGAGGAATGGACAATGGATAAGCATGCAAGTAAAGCCCAGCAGAAGCCTTCAGTCTGCAGTTCCCTGGAGACAAAGCTTACGGACTCAAACTATATACCATAAACTCGAGCACAAACTCAGGAAACATTAATATTTTAAAAACTAACTGTTGTAAGGATTTCAGCCATTGCTTTGTGTGCTTCATCTCAGCATTTTGCACTGTGTAACGTTTAATATGCATATTTAATTCACAACATAAATATTTTTTGTAGCTGTCTTTATTACTTTTTCCATTAAGAGCTAGAGTGTATGTGCATGTGTGTAATGACTATTTATATCTTCCTCAGAACAGATTATGTGTGTTGAAACTGTCGATAGGCATCTTTTTGTATGAGAAAACTATTTGCAAATGACCATTTTTATGCAAAATTATTCTCAAACTATAACTTAAAAGTTCTTACACTTTCTAGCCTGGCAGTAGTGACCAATATTTGCTTTGTCATTCTATTATCTTGAAATTATTTGACCACATCTTCATGTACCAGAATTTGGGCCAGAATTAATCTTTCCAGGGGCTTTTATCCTTGCTGATAAGAGTTAGAAAGATGCATATTAGTCAGTAACTTAACTTCAAACCTCTTCTTACTGGCCTCAGGATATTCGTCTCAGAAATATACTCTTGAAATGCTGGTTATAACCATCTAAAACAATTTGGCAAGGCAGCTTCGGAAAGAGAAATCTTATTTCCATTTCGATTCACTATCATTGTCACTGTGCCTATAGGACTGTCACAAGGGGACCCATTAATCACAGCTACTTTTCCTTGTTGGGTTTTGTTAACTTTACTGTTTGCGGTTTTCACTTATCTCAGGAATGCTAATATAAATTTATAAATGCTATGTAAATGCAGACACTGAATTGGATATTGATCATTCAGCAGAAAGTAAGGTGGGCCATTGAGGCTCGATTTATTCGGGTAAAAGAGGGGGAATTTGTGCATGCGATGCTCCTGATCACCTCTTATGTTTTTAGCTTGGGATCAGTCATAAAAGTTGGGGTCAGTCATAAAAGTTGGTTCTTGTTGATGAGGTGAGCTCTTCTGTAACAGCAGGAGTTCATAATAGAGAGCAGGCAGAATTTATTTGGGTTGGTGGAAAATCAGTTGGTTTAGTGGGAGAAAGTCAGGCTGCTTTGCTATTAACATTTTAAAAAAGGCTTGTCTAACTTCTGCATGCTCTACATCAAACTTTTGTCCATTGCAGAACATCGAATTGTACCCAGATAAGCTGCATGGAAAAAAGAAATCCATTAATGGTGAATGTAGAAGGGTTGTATACTCACTGGTAGTGCAAAAATATATGCTTTATGAAAACATGGACTTCCAGCGATTATTGAAGTATTTCACAGTTAGGTTGTTCACTTAATTATTGGGACCAATAGTTTCAGCATTTTCATAACTAGCTTATTATATTTTATGGACAAAAATCTGATACAGTGTCTTAAAATATTATATTGTCCTTCATGGAATGTAGCAGAATAAGCCAGTTTGAGTATTTGTGCAAGAAGCTCTTTGGAATATATGGCTCAGCACATGTTAGGCAGAAAAAGTCTTGGAGTTTGGCTGTCACAGGATGCAAGTAGCCCCCCCCCCCCGGCCCCTCTAAGTGCTAGTAACTCATATTAGGTACCTTTTTAAAAAGATTTGTCTTTTATTCAGAACCTGCTTCATCCTATGGCAATATACATAAAAGTAAAGTACTTCAGCTGTTGGTTTCAAATTCAGTCAAGGCACTCTTCCCAGTTTGCTACCAGATGCAAAATTGCCTGTCCAAAAATTGCAACAAATCTCAGTGCAAACAAGACATGAGTGTAAGGAAGCCATCCTTTTAAAAAAAAAGTTCATCCTGAAAAGTGGCTGCTGAGCCTCCAGGTGGAAATGGAATATCTCTGTGTTTGTATGCTTGTGAGGTTATGTTAGCTTGTATTTAATAAGGTTTTTTCTGGTGTAGTATAATGAGGTGTATGTGATTCTGTCATCTTCTGTAATGAGCATCCACATTCTGTTCCTTTTGATGAGTTACCTTATCTTTCAGTGCCACGATAGTTCCTGTTTGGTTGGGTTTTTTAAGTAGCACAATTTCTATACTGGCATAAAAAGTAGATTCTTACACACGGTCAAATGGTGTTTCTGCTTTCGTAAGTAGGTTCAAATTTAGGACATGTTCAGCAAATATCTGTGCTCTTTTAAAAACCGGTTTAGCGAATTTTACCAGAATTTGTGGAAGGAGATGAGGGTTGCAGGGTGGGAAAAGTGCACAATGGGCTAGATCTTCCTTTGTTTGAAGTGACTATGTGATGAAGTATTAAACACACCAGTATTTGGATAAAAATTAGCTTACCCTGGAAAATGGAATGCCTGGTGAGCTAATGCACTTGAGCCTTGGGCAGGCCAAACAAGATTTTGGGGTTTGTAGGCTGCTAATGCAATGCTTAATTCTTTCGAGTTTATGGTAGCCAGTAAACCCCATTTAACTTATTCCCTCTCTCCTCTGGATTAAATTTCAAACTGTATTTACAGACTAGAAGCTTGATCAGTGACTGGTGTGGTGCGGTGTTCTGCTATTTTTAACATGGAAGAAAAGGTCCTTTTGATTAATGCACTTGTGTGAATTTTGAACTCTGTACAACACAGGGAGAGATACCTTGGAACGTTAATTGGGTGGGTGGATGTACACAGTATAGTTGAGTCCAGTTCTTCAACTGGAAGTTGTTAAATTTTAATAGCATGGAGCAAAAAGTATTGTTTGAAAAGCTGCTATTTGCTGAAATTGTCATAATATTTTGTGTGTGTGATGTGCCAACTAATCAAGTTATTCAGTCAAGTTATCAGATTTTAATCACTAATTCAATAGGAAGACTTTTTTAAAAAGTTGCAAAGCCATAAATGGAAATTGTACAGCTTTATATACCCAGACCTGCCCAGCAGAAACAGTAAGAAAATGTCTAAACTTAAAACAATTAACACTTTAAAAAAATCAACTTAATGGCACAGCCCAATTAATGTTAATATATGGTTAATGTATTTTTAAAAGACTATAATAAAGTAATGTCTGTTAATCTTTGATACCTTTACATTTGTAGTAACAGAACGTGGGTTTAAAATAGAAAATCATTATGAAATTACTTCATGAACAGGTTCTGTCTGTTTTTTCTTTTACGAAGGATAATTGTTCTGTCTACCATACCTTTTTGAGTAATAACAGCTTTTTGCACTATGTAAATACTAGTGGGGGTTCTTCCATAATGAATAAAAATGATTATAAAAAAGTAATGGTGTGGTGTGCTTTTTTCACCAAGCTGTTAATGGTTGCTGTCAATTCTCTGTGTCAACATTATCATGTAAAAACTCATTTTTGAAGGGAAATTGGTTTCCCCAGCTCCCCATATTCAACTGTGGTGGCTAAAATGGGCCGTGCTGGCCAGTGTGCCACAACTCCAAAATATTTTTGTGTGTAGTACGTACTGCCTCTGCCCTCAGTTTTCACTAGTCTACTAAGCTAGGAAGGAGTTAACATAGGCATGGAAGAGACACGCAGAAGTGATCATCCTAACAGTTGTTTCTTCTAGCTGTACTACAAATGTCCTCCATATGCAATATCTGTGTTGTAGGTTGCCTGCTCATGAGTTAGAAATAGCCTCTCTTTTAGCCATAAACTGAAAGGATGTTAGCAAGGAGTGGATATACTTGTAGGTTACTGAATGTACAGTGTCTTCAAGTTCAGATGCTGCAAAGTCATACTCTCTTCAGGTCATTAACTGAAGGGCCTGCAGCCAAGCTTCTGCTTCCTGTGAGGAAATTTGTAAGCCACTCAAGTTTTAAATTTTTACTTAAGTGAATAAACAAATTAAGCTTATGCAGTTATTGCATGAATGCAAGAACTATCCCGCTTCCTCTGGATGAAAAACTGCCTCGGGCATGATGAAATACTACTTGTTGTGTATCATTGAGCTGATTTGCACATGTATATGCACCACTTTGATTTTTCTGCTCTTGGTTACGCTACATTTTTCTATTATTGCAGCAAGAGCGTGTAGGCCAACTTTTATTGAAAAGTGTTCCATCTGTGGTGACACTGGGCGGCAGTGAAGGCTTTGCCTGGGTGGATTGGCCCACTGAAATATTACAAACTGGAAGAAGTGGAATGAAGCAATTTAATATTCAGCATTTGCCTTTTTCACACTGCCGCACACACGGTTGACATTTTCATTTTTTTAGCTATCGTGACCCCAAGGTCTTGCTCCTTGTCAGTCACTCCCAATTTAGACTTCATGCGCATATATGTGAAATTAATATTTTATGCCACTTTCTGCAATACTTTACACTTACTTACACTAATATGGCCATTTTACTGCCCATTTGTTCAGATTGGAGAGGTCCTTTCAGAGCTCTTCAGAATCCTTTTTGTTTGTTTGTTTCAACAACCCCGAACAGTTTAGTATCCTCAGCAAACATGGCTATTTCGTTGCTTTCCCCCACTCCACAATTCTAGATACCGTAGTTCATGAAGAAGTTTATAAGCACAGCTCCCAATACCACAGTAAGGAGAGTTCATGCTCACTGGGCACAATAAGGATTGGAATCCCATCTACAAAGTTGCCGAGTCCTTATCCATGTGATAAGAGGATGGAGTTTGGTGTGAGAGTCCTGAATTGAAAGATTTTTCAACAAGGTTTTCAATGTATCAATGAGAGATCGACATGTATATCTCAGATTACCACTGCCCCCTTGAAAGGGGGATGGGGGCATAGGCACCATATATGCTGAGGTCCATTTGCTTCCCTGCTCCCACAGCTTGTTGTTGTTTAGTCGTTTAGTTGTGTCCAACTCTTCGTGACTCCATGGACCAGAGCACGCCAGGCACTTCTGTCTTCCACTACCTCCCGCAGTTTGGTCAAACTCATGCTGGTAGCTTCGAGAACAGTGTCCAACCATCTCGTCCTCTGTCGTCCCCTTCTCCTTGTGCCCTCCATCTTTCCCAACATCAGGGTCTTTTCCAGGGTGTCTTCTCTTCTCCTGAGGTGGCCAAAGTACTGGAGCCTCAGCTTTAGGATCTGTCCTTCCAGTGAGCACTCCAGGGCTGATTTCCTTCAGAATGGATAGGTTTGATCTTCTTGCAGTCCATGGGACTCTCAAGAGTCTCCTCCAGCACCATAATTCAGAAGCATCAATTCTTCGGCGATCAGCCTTCTTGATGGTCCAGCTCTCACTTCCATACATCACTACTGGGAAAAGCTCCATGGACAAAGACAACAGGCTCCCACAGCACAGGTACATAATTTCCTATCAGTGTGTAAAATTGTCTTTTAGACTCATTCCCTCTATCCATGTGTGTAGAGCATTGGAAAATAGTTTGGAGCAGCAGGAGACAGGGCCAGCCCTACCATTAGGCATAGCCAGAGGCGCCGACTTGTGCATAAGATTTGGGGTGGTGATGATGATGCATGTGTGACATTGGGAGGAGCAAAGGGGTAGAGCCAAATATGGAAGCGCAGCTTCAATGGCCATTGGTGGCTCCTCTCTGGGCCACCTACTGCCTTTGGCTGAGAGCTGCTTCCCCTGTCTTCCCCTTAATAGGGGGAAGGAGGTGCCGCTGGCCACTGAAGCTGTGCCGCACATGGCTCCAAAATCAACCACCTCTTCCTCTGCTGCTGAGGGCAGCTTCTTCCCTCCTGGCCCTCTTCAGCAGGAGAAGGTGTTGGCCATGGAAGCTGCTCTGCAATTGGCCTTGTCTACCCCCCTGATAGTTCTGAACATGGGGGGATATTGGGGACTCCAGAAGAGCTAGTCCCCAAGGAGTTGGCACCTATGGTGGATGCTGGGAGTGATGAAGGGTGGCAGCAGCAGCCCATTGGTTGTTCCCGAGCCCCCTGCACATTCCCCTCTGTTAGACGAGAGTTGTGCCTGCCCCACACCCTCAGGTGCAATGGAGGATGTTATCTTCAGTGTTGAAGTGAGTTTCAGTTGTTAGTCCAGGCAGCTTCTGTATCTGGAATGGGGTACAGCGCCATCTTGTCCCTTGCCCCAGGCAGCAAAATGTCTTGGGTGAAAGCTGGTAGTAGACATAGCTGTCAGCCGTCCCTTATTTGGCGGGAAACTCCCTTATCCCAGTGCCGTGTCCTGCTGCTGTCCCTTATTGATGATGTCCCTTAAATTTCCCGGGTTTCAAAGGAAGCAGCTCCTCTCCCTTCCTCCCTGCCAGCCAGGGAGGAGGGAGGCTCCAGCTGCGTTGCTCGGCTGCGTTGCTCACCCAATAAGGAGTCTAAGAACGACTGGGAGGTGGAGCTTGCATGCCTTGTGCCGATCAAATCGGCCGCGTTACCTGGGGACTTGCTTTTGCTCAGCGCTTCCCAGCGGAGAGGTGACGGTGGTTTTCCTTGCTGCATCCCCTTTGCTGGGTTGCTGCGCTGTGGGAACCACTGCTTGAGGTTCGTTTGGCTGCTGGCTGGGCTTTCTGCCTTTGGCTCGGAGGGGCTCAGAAGTTGAACATACCTGTGCTCTGAAAATCCCTTATTTTGGCTGCTGATCCCTTATTTTCAAGGCTGCTGGTCCCTTATTTTCAAATCTGTAAGTTGACAGCTATGGTAGTAGAGTGCATTCTTTACTTGCAGAAGATCTCAGGTTCCATCCCTGCTTGCTCCAGTTAGAAGAAACAGGTTGACCTCTACCTTAGTCCCTGGAGAGCGGCGGCCAGAACAGACAATATTGGGATAGATGGACAAATGGTCTCGCTTCGTATTAGGCCACTTTTTATGTTCAGTGTAGTTTTCAGTGTCTCCAAGCCAGGGCCTACCTTTAATGCCAACCAGTTAACTATTTTAATTGTGCAAGTTTCTCTTCCTCGCCACCACACGTAGCCTAGACAGGCCTTTTGACACAAGCTCCAGCCATTTGGGGGTTACTTGCCCCATTTTTAAAGTATATATTACATATTTGCAACCTTGCTCCCCCCCGCCCCCACCCCACCCCAACAATGAGCAGCAAAGGGGGGGGGATGGCGGCTGCATTACTCAGGTGACCTGCCTTAGGTCAGACTTGTCCTCACTTGGGGATTTCTGGTGTGTCAGTTGAAAAGCATTGTTAAGACCATGGGTAGGCAAACTAAGGCCCGGGGGCCGGATCCAGCCCAATCACCTTCTAAATCTGGCCTGCAGGCGGGCCGGGAATCAGTGTGTTTTTACATGAGTAGAATGTGTCCTTTTATTTAAAATGCATCTCTGGGTTATTTGTGGGACCTGCCTGGTGTTTTTAAATGAGTAGAATGTGTGCTTTATATTTAAAATGCATCTCTGGGTTATTTGTGGGGCATAGGAATTCATTCATTCCCCCCCCCCCAAAAAAAATATAGTCCGCCCCCCCCAAGGTCTGAGGGACAGTGGACAGGCCCCCTGCTGAAGAAGTTTGCTGACCCCTGGTTAAGAGGAATCGGGGGAAGATAGGGAAAAAGCTGGGCTGGAAGCAGGTGCAGAAATTAAGAGCAGCTTGTGATTAGAAAGATGGGAAAGGGGTGGTTTTGTGAGTTTATTTTGGAGGAAGGGAAGCTGGGAGAGGGGAGATACACATGGCCACGAAGGAGACTGAGTGCTGGGCAGGAGGTCTTCTGGTAAGAATAAACATTGCTGTTTATGCTAGCGAAAAGCTGGTCTCTGGTAGAAACTGATGCTATTTGTGCCTGAAAAGCAAGAACAGATGCCTTTTTGCACTAAAAAAAAAAGAGAAAGTCCCCATCTCCTTAGCAGGGGTGATGGCACGTGTAATTCCAATCACGATTGCTTCCCTTTGAAATCCTTTTTCTTTATTTTTATTTTTTTCCTTCCACAAGTGATGCATTTTATATGAGCAGGGATCTAACGTGATTCTGGACTTCTGCATCGAGCGATACCAGCACTGGCACTGGCACATGCCTCTCGCTTCCCTCTCCGCCCCTCACTCACAAGGCAGTAAATGTGACTGCGGTCTGTCTCACCCACACACTGAGAATTAACATGAGGGAGTGCATGTGACAGGAAGCATCCACTGCAGTTTAAAGCTCTCCTGTGGAAGAGGTCAATAAAGCCTATTGTTGCTCGCTTCCCTGTTGGTGGGAATATTTTTGTTTTTTTAAAAGCCTTATGGAGAAGGGAGAGGATTTATTCCCTCTCTTTTAGACAAGCAAGTTGCAATCTTGTGGTATTTTGGTAGAAATCTGTTTGCAGGAAGGAGAGGTTCCAAACAATAGCTAGCAAAGAGAGTCTGCCCACTTCAATGAAATCTGATACAGTACTTGCAT